CCAAAGATGCTCCTGACCCTTCAGTGCTGAGAAACTAGTTAGAACACACTGACCCATTGTAAGATGGGTCATTTACAAAGTATTTGACAATATATTATAGCACTCTTTAGGAAGACAGTTTAAAGAATTTGATTTAAGAGTCCATTTTTCATTTCTAACTTTGATGTTATCATCTCTTAATGATGTTTTATCAAAGTTGCATTCACTGATTTTGTGAGTCGTGTCACCACACCTGTAGCAAATTCTAGTACCAAAGTTTTTCTTGGTAAACACATTTCTAGATTTAACACATTTATATTTGAAAGATTCACCAAGTGAACTTTGATTCCTTTTATTTAACATTGAATTACTAGAGAATTCAGTGTCAGAAGAACTACAATCATTGATGGATGAGGAGCTGACATAAGTATCAGATTCAGACTTATGTACTGAAACACTGCAATCAGGATATTGTTTAAGTTGTTCATGAATAGCATGAAACACTCCGTTTGAGATAGGAAATGCGATAATATTTTCAGTGAGAGGAGTTGGTCTCACAAGATGTGCAGGGTAAGAAGTAGGATCAATTCCGGTAATTTCAATATTACACTCAGTAACACCATTAAAATCAGTAACACAGTGTTCATCATTAAGACTCTGATTAATAAAGGTGTTGCCGATAAATTTGTTTTTGAAACTATCTTTTAATTCATTTACGGAATAAAATTCAGATTCCTTTTCTTGAGATTTAAAAACCTTTTCAGCTTCAGCAAAAATTCCCACAAGGATTTTCTCACAAGAATGAGGTATTTGAGCAGAAATAACATAATTAGCATTTTTGTGAGATTTAGCCCAAAGTTTTAAAACAGTTTTTTCTTTGTTTAAGAGGTCTTTAATTTTATCAATTTCAGCAGATAGTGAGGAATTTGATAAACTAGTAACTCTTAGATTTTCCTGAGTAGTGTCAATAATGTTATTTTTTAAGGATAGTTTAATTTTAAGAAGATCAATTTGATTTTGCATATCTCTTATGGTTTGATTCTTCTTAGAATTAAGAACACCCAAATACTTAAACATTTTGATTTTTTCATTCATTGAATATGAAACAAAGTTTTGAACCTGATACATTGAAGGAGAGTCAGTGTTGTGCTTCCTGGAGTTTTCAACTGTATCAGTCATATCAGCATCAAACGAACTGTTGCTGACTTTGCATTCATCAGTGTCTTATATCTTGACCATCAGACACTTAACTTCATCATTTGATGACTCCTCATCAGTCTTCCACTTTTCTTCTTCAGCGACAAGAACTTTATGTTCCAAGTTCTCTGCTTTCAGTTTCTCAACCAACTTGTTCTTCTGCTTCCAGTATTCATCCGAGCTTTGGGTTCTTTGCTTGCATTCTTTTGCAAAATGATTAGTGCTACCACAGTTAAAGCACTGAGCTTTCCCTTTCCTTTCAGTACCATGTTTTTTGTCAGCATCTGATCTTTTTGATGATTTCCCACTCATCTTCTTCTGAAACTTTGAGAAATTTCGGCCTGATTTCTCAAAAGTCTTCACAATCAAGGCCGCACTAGCAACAACCTTTTTGAGATCATCAGTGTCACTTTTAGAAGAATCAGTGTCTGAATGGTTTTCAGTGTCTTACTCTGACACTTGCTTTTTGTTTAAGAATAATGCTACTGATGACTCACGCTAAGAATCCTTCATCAGCTCCTTTCTCTGAAGCTTGGATTCCTCATAGTATCGCAGGTTTCCATAGAGACTTTGTAAGTCCACAGTGTTGATCTTTTCACTATTTTTCAGCACATCAACATTATTCTCCCAACCTGCACCCAGAGAATCCAAAAACTTCTGCACTAGAATAGTTCGATGCTTCAACTGATCTAGTCTCCGCAGATCATTAACAAGAGTATTAAACATGTTAAAGGTTTGAGTCAGGGTTTCACCTTTCTTTGCAAAAAAATGTTCCTACCTTCTGTTTAGATCGTTTATTTGAGTAGCCCTGACTTCTTCAGTACCTTCAAAAGATACAGTCAGCGTGTCCATCATCTCTTTTGCTGAGATGCAATTATGAACCAGCCCAAAGATATTGTATGGCAAAGCATAGCTGATTGAAACCCGAGCACGAACATCGAGACCATTCTTTCTTTTATCATTTGCTGTCCAGTTTTCTGTAGGTGTTTTCTTCATGGCACCATCAGGAACATTGTTTTTCAGGGGCTGATACATCAGAACGTATGGACCTTTTTCGATGATGTCCAACATGTCTTCGTCTACAGACTCTAATGCTTAGAGAGCCTTTATTTTCCACATAGCAAAATTGGTTTCATCAAACAGAGAAATTTTAGCAGAAGGATGATTTGATGAGTTTGAAGAAGAAGAGGATGAAGCCATTTGTTTGATAAAAGAAACCTGCTTTGATACCAATTGAAAGGACCTTAGATCAATCGATTTATCAAACAATGACTAATAATAAGAAGAGAATAATGAAGTATCACAAAGAGCTTTCACTAAGAATGATAATCTCACAAAGAGATTATAGTTCGCACAAAACGGCTATTAGGGTTTGTGAAAGACAACCTCTTCACAAACCCGTACAAAAGACTATATAGAACTATTATAGAGAATCCCTACAAATCAGGGATGTTACAGCTAACCAATATATGATAAGTATGGAAACAAGATAAATACTAAATCTGTTACATCTAAGACAATATATATACTGAACAACTTGTATGCTGACACTCATGCTGATGCTGACGCTGGATTATATGTTGATGCTGAGGGATCAGTTTCAAACATCATCATATTATAAGGTTCGGCCTCACATACATATATAGGTATAAAGGTTTCGTTACTCAGTTCATTACCGTTGGGTAGCAAAGGTATACTTCCGGTTATACTCGTACATTACTAATAACTATAATAGGTATAGTTAGGAGTTACTACTTACAATTCCAAGTACAAGGAATCACATAAGAGTCAGTTTATTCATGAGTCTATACTAATACATTATATGTGACATGAATACGTTCACATATATATATGCTTACATGAGTACATTTACATAGATACACTTACATGAGTACATTTACATAGATACGCTTACATGAGTACATTTACATTGATATGTTACAGAGATATGCTTACATGAACACATCTACATTAATATGTTTAATAGATACTATTACATAGGATCTGTTACAAATGTTTCGGGACTTATCATTCCATACCCAAGGCTGTTAGCTACAGTAGGGAAAATGATGATCGACGTGTGTCTACGGTCGTACTGTTTGGCGAGTTTCCACGCCGTACATATCCTAACGCAAAAGGATACAACTTTAGTTATTAGATTATTCTCCTTCCTTTACTTTGTGACACATTCACATGAATGACGAGGTAGGATATATTTGATATAGATAAACTATTTTTCCTTATTACCTTTATTTTGTGACTCATACACATAATCGACGAGGTACGCTGTAATTTTTATAATAATAGTTAAATAGGGAAAAACCAACACATTTACAGTGATGCTTTCTTACAAAACAGTCGGGTCTTGGTAGAAGACTACTTTGAAAACAGTCGAGTCTTGGTAGAAGACTACTTTTATACCAGTAGGAAATATAGGATTTCCTAGGGTTTTCAAACGTTTACAATTGCTTACAAACATTTTCCAACTTTTTCCAAATGTTTACAAGTCTTTACTTTACAGTTTTTACGAATTAAAGACACATTAATACTTATGAATTCACCAGCTTTATTGCTGATACTCGCTTTCAAAATAATTTGTATTCTCATGTCACAAATAGATAGGTACGATGATCAGGTTTTGTGAAGACGGAGAAATCAAGACTCCTCTTTTATTATTAGTATTTATTATGTTGTCTTATACTATGAAAGAACACACTTGTAATTAAAATTATACTATTAATGCAATGGATGATGTTGTTGCTTGTTTACTACTTTACATTGTTGTGATACATTACATGACGTTCTCTTCCCCAGAACGTTTCCGTCGTTCTCAGTTTTGGGGTGTGACACAAAGTGTATGAATTTTTTCACTCCTTGTATGAAAACATGCGATACAGAACTACGATTATCTTTTCTTTCATAAATCAACGTTATATTGTTATTGTTCTTGGTGTTAAATCTATAAAATACACATTTAAATAACATAATACTATGTTCATTAATGTTGCTTCGAATTAATATATGAGATTTGAAGTAAATGTATATATATGTACAATATAAATATTGCAAAGGTACCCTAAAAACAAATCGTTTAACAAAATTAATAGTTGAATGATGAACCAATCTTTAAAGTTTTCGCATTTGAATTGATGAATCACTTTGATGATTTGATAATGGCGTAGGACATTAATGAGGGAGCCTTCGACAACCCTTGATTTCGATGTGGTGGATGGATACTAGGTCAAAGTATTTTTTTGATATTATTCAATACTAGTTTAAAACCCATGTAAAATGCATAGCCTAAATTGTAACCCCAAAATAACCACAAAAGGATAAACAATGTTTGATGTTTTTAAATATAATGTTAAAGGGTTCACTTCAATCAAATTTTCAATTAAACTTAAAACTATATCTAAATATTATTTTATAAATAGTTAAAATATATACATTGTAGTGTTAAATGCAAAGCCTAAATTGTAACCCCAAAATAACTACGAAAAGAAAAACAATATTGATGTTTTTAAATTATTAGAATGATAAAAATTCAAAATGTAAGAAAAAAAATGTTTTGAAACTTACCATGATGTAATAAATGATCAAACTTAAACAAATTAACATCATCAAGTTACTACATTATTATATATCATCCACAGTGCACGGTTTAGTTACCAAATCCAAAATACAATACATATATGTATTGATATTAAGCCAAATTACAAATATATATTAACATTTCACCAAATTACAACTATATATTCACATTACACCAAAATACAAATATAATATGCATCACTAATTATGTGAATCAAACAACCATCATATAACTACTCTAAACTAATGTCAAACATCTTAGCAAACTTAACCAAACATGCATCCCACAAAGAAATATCACAATTAAACAACCAACTGTATTCATGCATAAAAGATTTTCCATATCTGCTCACAAAAGGATGCTTTGCATAACTTTTATTCAAGCCTTGCAATTGTATCTGCTTTGATCTCCTTCGCCTAACCAAGTAGCTTCGAACCTTGTAGCCGGTTTGTCTCAGATTCCAACTTCTTCTTGTATTAATGTAAGCATTATTCAACATGATCAGAGCTTCTTGCTTCCTTTCACTGCCTTCGGCCATCAACAACATTCCTAGAATGAATACCGCATCCAACTGTCCCTTATTGGCTGCTTCTTGAAGCAATTGTTTCCATGCTTCGTCTTCTCCTAACAAAAAATACTTCCCCTGGAAGACATTAAGTAATCATAAAACTTTAATATAAATAAATACAAATATAGAAAACAAATTGCATGTGTTATTATTAGAATGCATAAAAAAGAGTACCATTCAATCCTTGAAGAGTATGTGTGGGTTGTTCAACTTTTTGCATCTGCGGATGACTTCATCCATATCAACACTAAATGAAGAGTATGATATATTGTTTCTGATGTTGCAGAATCTCTAAAGAGTTTGCAACTATAATTTACAAATGAACAAAATTCATCTATTAAACACAAAATTAACTACATATACAAATATAATAGAAGTATTGTACATGAAACTTACACTAACTGGCACTTAAAAGCATCAGTTGGTGATTTTCCCTAACCATAGTTACTATTTTTTCAATTATTTGCGATGGAAAAGTAGTAATAGTTGTTCCTTGTTGACTTGTTTGCATTCTTTCTGATGAAGAACTCATTTCCATGATGTTGAAATGCTTCGAGTCTAATACAGATAATGCAAGAACAAATATTTTAGGGTTTATTGATCAACTTGTCGAAAATTTGATGTTTGGGAATGTATTGTAGTTTATCTATTGCCGAGAAAATAAAACACCAGGATAACTCTGACTCCAAATTATGGTGCCTAACTGTTTAGATTGTGAATTGACCGAATTTCCCTTATACATATAAAGCTTAATATGTAAATGGTAAGGTTGTTTTGTCAATACCTATCGACGATTTAGGGGTTTATATGTTCGTCTTCATTTTTACCATCGGGAAGATTTGAGACGTTCTAAATAGGTTGAAGCATTAAAACGAAGACATGACATCAGAACCATCATGGTGCCAAAAAAGTGTACAGTGAAAAAAGACTAAAGTGGCCTTGTAATCATTCCAAATGTGATTTCTAAGGGAATTTGTGTAAAAAAATTTATTCAAACATTATAACCTTTTATGGGTCAAAGTGCAAGTTATAAAAAAGTGAAGGAAGTACGATTCGAACCTGCGACTTCAAGAAAGATGAAAGACGTGTCATCCAGCTGAACTAAAGTAACTTATGTTTCTTAAAATTGAATAACTTTAATATTATGTTCATTAATGTGGCAGCCCATGACCCATATGTCATCCATGGGTGTTACCGTCACACTATAACCAACTACCACATGGACCTATGACCCAAATGTCATCATGGGTATTATCATCACAAACATGACCCATATGTCGTCCATGGGTGTTACCATGACACTATAAGCAACTAATTTATTGACCAATGACCCATATGTCATCCATGAGTATTACCATGACACTATAAGCAACTACCACATTAACCTATGACCCATATGTCATCCATGGGTGTTACCATTACACTTTAACCAACTACCACATGGACCTATGACCTAAATGCCATCCATGGCTATTAACATCACACCTATGACCCATATGTCATCCATGGGTGTTACCATGAGACTATAATGAACTACCATATTGACCAATGACTTATATATCATCCATGAGTATTACCATGACACTATAAGAAATTACCACATTGACCCATGACCCATATAAGAATCCCATGACCCATATGTCATCTATAGGTGTTACCATGACACTATAACCAACTGCCACATGGACCTATGACCCAAATGTCATCCATGGGTATTACCATCACACCCATGACCCATATGTCATCCATGGGTGTTACCATGACACAATAAGCAACTACCACATTGACCAATGACCCATATGTCATCCATGGGTGTTACCATGACACTATAAGCAACTATAACTTGATCCATGACCCATATTTCATCCATGGGTGTTACCATGACACTATATAAGCAACTACCACATGAACCATGACCCATACGTCTTTTATATATAAATTTTGGTTCAAACATAGCAACATAAAGATGTATAGTTTATTTTTGTTTAATTCTCGTTTATAATTTTAAATTAAAAATATGCTATAAACACCTCGTTACTCTTTGTTCTATCTTTATGTTATATACCCTTCCTATCAAGTTGGAACTAGTTTAAAATTTTTTAATTACTAAATATTCAACACTAATTTGTATAGTTGAATTTTTCATTAGAGGAGCTTCAATATACTTTTCAATTCCTTTCCCTCTAACCTACGCACGTTAAGGCTGCATATTAGGGTAAGTTAACTGATTAGAAATAGGGCTTACATTTTCTGTAATCATCTCCGATGGCTAATTGATCAAAATCTTTGTTCATTACGTTCGTGCACTGACTTTGGCGATATAGGTTGTCACTCATCTAAAATTTATTTTTATTTAATTTACTATTGTCGTGATCATCATTTCTTGTTATCTGATCATCTTTGTGTATATTTATCATCTTAAATTACAACTACATTGGTTTTAATTGTATTCAATAGTATGCATGTGTAGTAATGCCTTCATCTATAATTGATTTGTATTGTATGATTATTCTCTACTCATCAATAGTTTATCATCTTTAATACATTGGTATTGAGTTTAGCTTTTTATTTATTTTTAAGAAAGAAAGATGTCGAACTTGAGACCAAAAGGAGCATCAAGTGTGAAGCCAACTAAATTCATTGCACCACGGGTTTTAAACCAGAACAAGACTTCAACTACAAAGTTCATAAGCAGACAATTACAAGATGAAGAAATCAACTTCCCAATATCAACAACCACATCCAATGCACCTATAACATCTAGCACCAAAACCCCTAAACCTAATTCATTAACACCAACCATGAATACCACTTCCTCGGCATCACTTACAACATCCACACCATCCTCAGCAAATACATCTAAAACTTTAGCAACTGGAACAATACAATCCTCAACACCTAGATTCACAACAAAAACTTCAGCACCTACATCATTAAAACCATCCTCAACACCGACATCCACTACCACATCATCAACACCTATATCTACTACCAAAACCTCAAAACCTTCATCGACACTACCATCCTCAACAACTACAGTAACGACCACATCCTCTGTAACTAAAGGAACTACCACATCCACAACATATATATCTATCCCAACACCTATCTCAGAATATACCCCATCAACAACACCTATCCCGGAATCTACCCATCACCAACATAACCAACCATGAATGGATCTGTTCTGGAAAATTTAAAATGTGAAAACAATTCCTCTAAAGATTGTGGACCAGATGGACGTTTAATTGTTCATGTTTGGAAAGAAAGTGTGAGTTACCAATCATATCTTACAAATTTTTTCTATGTATAACCTTTTGGTGTACACGTACATATGAATTCAAAACTAAACTGATCACATGATTATTTGCAGGCTCATGCCACCAGGCCCTTGTGCATACTTTCTTAGTTGGTCATTTGTATAACGAGTAGATCCACAAGCGTACACTTGGGGAAAAGTAAGCAAAGAAATGCTTGAATTATATTGAGTGGAATTTTAGGTAGTTATCTATATGTGATAAATTGTTTACATGCTTCCATAATCATTAAGATGATCACAAAACACGATACTAATGTACTCTCTTTTCCTTTCGGATTGGAGAAACCTCTATATTTCTACCTAACATATTCTTTTATTCATTCTGCTACTCTTTGAATCTTTTCAAAGTGTCAGAAATATGGTTAATCTTATAAACACAACCATATTTACTGAACTATCAGTAAATTATGACGAATAGACTTATCATCCTTTATGGTGGATCTATAAAGTCCATATTAATATGTACAAGATCTAATAGTCCTTCACTTTGACTCGCATAAACGTGTGATCAATAAATTAGCCATGATTTTTCCAAGGATTAAGATTCTCATACATCACACAATTCAAATTGTATGACTCCAAGTTTTTATCCAATTGAAACTTGGGTGATGAGAAATCCTTAACACTTAGTCAATTGTTACATTTGCCACAAATGAAATAATAAGAATCAAATCTATAATTATATATTTCCAGTAATAGAAATGTAACCAGTACTTTCATCAATGTCATTGCAAAGAGATATAAAGTAAAGTAGATAAATGAAAACTCACTTTTATTGATAATAAGCGAAAAAAATTTGTCCTTACAATGCAAAAATATGAAAAACAATGTTTCTATACATTTACTTAATAATCTATTAAACTATCATAACTTCTAAGTAGTAGCTTCCAAAATCTGATCATCGAGCCATGTGACCGAATCCACATCAAACGATCAAATTCAGCTGACTCATCTTAAGTTTCCTTCTTTCTCTTAGATCGTACAAAACTTCAAAATCTGATCATCACATCATGTATTAAGAATCTATGAATATGAACTTAATAAAATAATGGAGTTAGATAATGAATGTACCTGTAGTAGAGTCATATGACTTGACTTTACCATCTCTAAGATCTTTTAGGTAGTCAAGGCAACTTCAAAACCAATGTCCCTCTAATCAGCAATAGAAACATATGGACCTTTCACGATCAGCACATGGAACTATCTTAGAATTAGTTTTTCTCTTAGCCATATGATCAAACGATTTGACCTTGGCCAATTCCCTTTCATTGGGAAGAGAAATCTTTTTTTGGACCACCATTATCGATGTCCATGGAAATTTGGGAGACAGATCCTTCAAACAATCTTGCTTCACTTGTGCTCTTCAGCATTTCTGCTTCAGCAACAATCAATATATGTGTCAGATCGATTAGGGTCATATCGTGGTTAGTCATATGGTAGTCTTTAATGAGCTGAATATATGACTCAGGAAGCGAAAGTAGAACCAAGTCAATGGCAAGATCCCTTAAGAAAACGACACCCAACATAACCAATCTGTCAATGTATGATTTCATTTTCAAAATATGCGCACACACGGACTTTCCATCTTGATGTTTACATGCCAACAAGGCTTGAGTAACTTCGTATTTTTCAGCTTGAAGGAAACATGACTTAGGGAGAGTCACTGTAGGAGGGGGAGGAAGAGTTGAAGAAGCATGACCTCCATTTCCACCATTTCTCGGAGAAAGGAGTAAACATTCATCTTGACCAGAATGTGGAAGATCATCTTTAGAAGGTAAAGGAAAAACATTCCCAGAAGAACGAGGAATACCATTGTTGTTTGAACTCGACGTCTATAATAGGAGATAAGAGAATTTAAGATAGTTGATTTCAATCCATTTCAATCTCATAAAATTCCTACATAATTTGAGATTCATTGAATCTAACCAATGACATGTTTAATCTCAATTATGCTCTCACTTTTGTGACTGAGATGCCGAGGATCACAAACGAGATGTGAATAACCATGCAAAATTAGCTTGGTACTCTCGATGTCATTTATCATCTCCTTTTAATGTGTCGGTTAACCACACGCGATCCATTAATCAACGATAATTTTCGAGACACCCATTACCATCCTTTATTAGCTCCATATTAGTGTGTCGGTTAGCCAACGCATTACACTAACGACTTATAAAGTATAATGTGCAATTTCATGGATTAGCATCAAAATGACATTTTTCCAAAGTAACTAAGAGTGGGATTTTAGAAAATAGTTTAGTTACTTTTCATCATTATATTTTAATAAGGATATGTCCTATCAAACTCGTTTGGCTAACGACCCTCCACCAATCAAGAGAGCAGTGGGTAAGAGTGGATACCCAATGGCGGTTATTTAATAGGTCGCTTCCTTAAACACCCCTTATAAATCAGCTTCATGAACGACGCATACTAGCGGTTCGACTGACTTAGTCTTATACATATAGTAACTACTAAACATTACATATAGTATAAGGTGTGTTTTAAAACCTTTTAAAATTCCAAGAGTTTAATCTTTTAATAAATGAAACTTTTAATTTAATTAAATTTAAACCATCTTTTGGATTTATTGATTATCCTTTAATTAAACATTTAATTAAATTAATAATAAGATCCATAAAGATGTATTTTAAACTTTTCAATATACTAGGGTCTTTAAAACTTTAAAATTCGAAATAAAAAACAATTTAATTTGGATTAAATTATAAAAATTGATTTAACAAATATCTATTAGTTAAACCGTTAATTAATTTATTAAACCAATTTAGGATTATCAATTAAATTAGTCAAAATAATTTAACCTAATCCTGTCCCCTAAATTTTGAAAACACAGTAGGGATAAATCAAAAATAAGGAGATAATTACCAAAAATAAGAAACCCTACCAAACTCCTAATTTTCGAAAATGGAAAACCTTGGGGAGGAAGGCAAGGATTTCAATCCTTGCCATTTTTTGAAATTATGGAGGGTTAAGGAAGTCCTAAATATCGAAAATTGTAGGGCAAATGAAAGGGATAAAATCCTTTCCTTATTTTCGAAACTTAAGGCCTAAGATACCCTAATTTTGAAAATCCCTTAGTTTAAAAGGGTTTAATTGCCATAAACCCTAATTGATCACATTCAAACAATTGGAATAAATTCACTAGAAAACAATTCAAGTCTCTCATACCACTGATTGGTTTTGACCATAACAAACGCTCCTATGTGTGCATGCAACCCGAATTTTCTTTGATCTGTGTTTTCTCTAATTGAATATACAACTGTGGAACATCAAATAAAAACCCTAGGGATACCTAGGAATTTTCAAAAATACTAAAGAAAAGGTTTAGTGTTACATACCTTTTAGTTGTTATAGCAAACAACTAAAATCCTCCTTTGAAGATCTCTTGTAAGAAAGCACCACAACTGTCGTGCCTCTGATAGTTCACACCCAAGCTAGCAAGAGCAAAACTATATATATATATATAGAGAGAGAGAGAGAGAGAAGGGGGACCAAGATTTCATCCAAGGCTCTTAAAGGGAGTGCATGGATGA